CATAAATACATACATACATGCATGTCAAGATGCGTACATACACACATGTAACATGTATGCATGCCAGCACGAATACATGCCGGTGTGCACATAGCTATACATATATATATATAGATGTATGTACGTATGTATGTATATACGTATAGATTCACCTACGTTTGAACCCGTCCGTCAATGTGCCTTGGTACGAGGTGCAATGTGATCAGGGCCCTTAAAGCACCCTGTGTTGAGTACCGAATAGCGCACGCATATTGTAAGGGGCCAGCAGCCCGAATTCCTGGCACTCTCGGGCGCGACCAGGCGATCTCGGACGCAGCGGGGCGCTCCTGGGGAGTCCTCGCGTGACGTTTCTGGAGAGCGCAAAGACGGCGCAAGAGCGTCCGCAGAGGCTCTCTCAAGACAGCCCAGGGGGATCCCATGATGGCCCAAGAGCGCTCAAAGACGCCCAAGATGGCCTAGACGGCCTAAGGCCCCCAAAGCGCCTCAAGAGGGCCCTTGGCGGACTCCGAAGAGGAACACAAGAGTTAAAAATTATGATTCCCGAAAGGATTGTAAAGGATTTTAGCGCTCTCGCCTTTGAGGACTTCCGACGCCCAAGGCGGCTCAAGAGGACCCCAAGATCACCTCAAGAGGGTTCAACTTCAACAGGCCCCCACAGAGGGCTCCTAGGCGACCCCAGAGCGCATCAAGACGGCACAAGTGGGCCGCAAGAGTGGCCAAAGAGGGGGAACACGAACTGACACGTCGAGCCCTCCGCCCCAAGATGACACCCCGAGACCGCCAGCAGGCCCCAAAGAGGCCCCCACGGAGCCCCAGGAGGCCTCCAAGAGGCCCAAAGCGAGGCCTCAAGAAGCCTCCGAGAGGCTCCCGAAAGGAACCAAGACACCTCAGAACTGGTTCCACGAGACTTTCGAGAGGCCTCCAAAGAGATCCAAATAAGCATAAAAGAAGCCTCTGACCTAGAACCCAAGCACGGTGGCGGGATGGGACGAAGGGCGTTAGATCCGCCGCCCCCTTTTGCTTTAGCAAAGGGGTGCCTGGCGTGCCAGACTGACTATATGGGTTCTGGTTTGGGTTTTTTTTCCAAAAGAACTTCCCCTGGGGCTTCGGCCCGTCCCGCCGACCACCCGGAAGGCGCTGAATTCCAGAATTTGTCGCTCAAGATGGCCCAAGATGGCCTCCAGGACGGCCACCTTGGCCCAAGATGGCCTCCAAGATGGTCCAAGATGGCCTCCAAGTCCGCCCAAGATGGTCCAAGACGGCCTTCCGGACGGCTCAAGAGACTCCAAGACAGCCCAAGATGGCCCAAGAGGCCCCCCGAAGGCCTCCAAGACGGCCCAAGAGGCCTCCAAGGGGTCCTCCAGGAGGGCCCGAAGATGCCAAAAACACGGATTTCCCATGCGTTTTTGAAGGATTCTGACGTTCGCTTATTGTCGGCTTTCCGACGACGCAAGACGGCCCAAGGGGCCCCCAAGATCGCCCCCACAGCGCCCAAGAAGCCTCCAAGATGGCCTCAGGACTGCCCAAGAGGCCCCCAAGACGGCCCCAAGAGGGCACAAAGAGGACCCAAGAGGCCCCAAGACGTCCAAGATGGCCTCTAAGACGGCCCTGGAGCACCCCAAGAGGGCCCCAAGTCGGCCCAGAAATGCCCCCCAAACGGCTTCCGACGGCGTCAGACGGGCCAGGAGCCCACCAAGATGGCCGAATTTGTCTAGAAGCTGGCCCAAGACGGCCCAAGGGGCCTCCAAGAGGGCCTCCAGAAAGGCCAGAACAGGCCAAAAACATTGATTTCCCATGGGCTTTCGAAGGATTCTGACATGTGCTTCGTTTCGGCCTTCCGTCGGCCCGATACGGCCCAAAAGCCCCCACAGATCGTCCAAGAGGCCTCCAAGATGGCCCCAGAACGGCCCAAGAGGCCCCCAAGACACCCCCAAGAGGCCCCCAAGACGGCACAGGAGGCCTTTAAGACGCCCAGGATGGCCTCCAAAACGGCCCTGGAGCATTCCAAGAGGGCCGGGCCAGGGGCCCACCAAGACGGCCGAAGATGGCACTAAGATGGCCCAAGACGGCCCAAGAGGCCTCCAAAAGGGCCTCCAGGAAGGCCCGAAAAGGCCAAAATCATTGATTTCCCATGAGTTTTCGAAGGATTCTGGCATTTGCTCTTTGTTCTGCCTTCCGACGGCCCGAGACAGCCCCAGTGCCCCCAAAGATCGCCCAAAAGGCCCAAGACGGCCCCAAGAGGCCCCCAAGACGGCCCAAGAGGCCTCCAAGACGCTCAAGATGGCTTCCAAGACGGCCCAAGAGCCCTCCAAGACGTCCTCCAAGAAGGCCCGAAAGGGTCAAAATGGCCTCCAGGCGGCCAAGGTGACCTTCAAGATGCCCACGTGTTCCCCGAAGGCTTTCCAAACCGATTCGGGGAACACATGGTCCGGTAGCTTGGCAGGTCTGGCCTCAACGTTCGGCCACATAGGCGCTTCCAAAAAGGCAGGGGGCAGCGGTGATTCGCCGTAGGCGTCTTCGAGTGCCGAATCCTATGGGTTTGGGTGCTGGTTCTTTTTCCATAAGAACTCCCCATGGGGCTTCGGCCCCGCAAGCCACCCGGAAG